TTTTTAATTCTAAGATGCACACACAAAAAGAATATATGTGATAACATAAAAGATCTCCAAGACACATAATATGGCCCRTTTTGGGTACACACATAAGAAAAACCACRATTTTTCAARATCACCTTGTTTACCTGGAGTGAARCCACACGGAGGGGACAAMGTGCCYTCAAGGAAGAAGGCCTAAAGTGGGGACGTTCAGGCAATAAAGTAGCCAGCCTCCCCTGCCCCCCCAGCTCACATTCTCCAATTTAAAAAGGTGGGGGGGCAAACAGGCCCCAAAAGAGGAACTCCCCAGCCCCACCTCTGCGGCTAGAGGAGGACACTACTTCCACCCMTCTCTCTCCCAGCCACACCCAACCACACCCATTTTTATTGCTCCCCCAGCCTCCCTCAGCAGCCTCCCAGCCCCGCCTCACCTGAGCCCAGACACAGGGACAGGCCAGCACCAGCCTTTATTGGGGAAGAGGCGCACCCACACCCACCCCAGCAGGACTGCTTCTCCTGTGCTGCAGGCCAGGGAGGGGGAAAAGCAGAACAGAGCGGGCTGTGAGGGCCCCTGGGAGTGTCACAAGCCCCGGGATGTCACCCTCTCCTGGCTGCCAGGATAAACCTCCAGGAGTCACTAATGAAGTTCCAGACAAATCAGGACAAGTAGGGCACCAAGGCCTCTGCAAATAGAAGAAAGATCAAGTCACACTGTGCCTCCGGCTCCAGCCACCCACCGTGTCCTCCCTCCACCCTCAAGAACCCTGGCAGACACTGCTCTCAAAAGTGGACACGGCTACCTGCTTCCTGAATACCCAACTGCAGCCTCTGGTCACACAGAAGTCCACCTTGAATCTCCGTCATTAAAAAGAGGAGCTATGCCTATCCCCTGATCCTCTGTCCCTCTGCCCCCACTGCCACCCTTTCACTCCCCTAACAATCACACCACCTGTCCCACACACTGTCTGAGCCAGCCCCACCTTGACACACCCAGGTCACATCCCATCCCTACCTACCCACCTTACACCTCCAAGCCRTATGACCACAGCAGGTTCGCTTGGTGACACAGGGTCTTTCTCCCTAACCGTCTTCTGAACCTTCAGCAGTCCCCTTCCAGGACCTAAGCTGCTCTTTGTACCTTGATATTGGTTGTTGGGGGGACTGTTCTCACCTAATTCACATCAGACCTGAGGGTCCTGTTGAAGTTCAAGGACCTTTGGGGTAGCGGGACCGGTGGGACACAGAAACGGCCGCATCCTGACTTGCAGCACTTCTTCCCAGCTTGACAGTTCTCRTCCATCATGCATTCCACGATACACAGGCCTACCAGAAAGGTGGGACAATTCCCAGCCCGCCCTGGGGGGAAAGGACAGGTAAAGAGACAGGGCATTGGCTCCACTGTCCCCAGGTTCCATCTAGAACTCAGACACGGGGACTCCCAGTGAGTTGGCTCTGGACCCCTAACTAGGTTTTAACCCATCTGGCTGAGAAGCCAGGAAGCTAGAGTGTCTGAGAACCTTAGGCACCCAAGACTCTGAGCCAAGAGGTTTCAAATAGTGTCCCAAAGAAACTCCCTGGAGTCCCTCAGGGGTTGGTGGCTAGGCAGGTTTGGGGTAGGGACAAGTGGACTGCAGGACAGGCTCCCCTCTCCCCTCTCTCTCTCATGCTTGGGCTTGGGGGCGTCACTTTCTTGYCCGCCCCTGATGAGGGGTGGTGTGCTGCGGCGTGCTTCTGAAGCACCCTGTCCCCGTCTCTTCTCTCAGACTTTATTGTTCCGATGGTCCCCAGCTCAGGATGAAGGATTCTCAACTTTGGATGCTGAAAAGATGTACCTACTCAGTAGAAGCCACACTTCAGATGTTGAATAYTTTCCTTTCCCAGACTACTTATAAGCAGCACACTATTCTTGCAAGGCTGGGCTACTCAGCCACAGAAGGAGGTGGACACAGAACCGAACCTCTACAGTGGGCCGTGACAGTGCCGAGCTAGAAGGTGTGGTAGGGTCAGGGTACTAAACGCACTTTCTACTTATGGTGTGTTTATTGGGTGTGAGCCCATCATTAAATCAAGGAATATCTGTAATTCCTTGTTTAATATCTGTATTCCCTGACAGGTTACATGCCACAGAAGGACAAAAGGCCAACACTTGGAGCAATTCCTGGGAATACCAAGGGACTAAACAAATCTGGGCCAATGATTCTGAAGTGGAGTTCCACAGTACACAAAAGGAGTACTTGAAAATACACACAAGCTTTTTTGTAATATTGAAAAACCAAAGGAATTGGAACAGGAATACCCACCCGGGCTGCGTCTCAGRTTGATTCTGCAACCCAGGGAGCACTTCAGAACTTCTTCCCACAAGAGCCAACATCCCTCCCTAGATTCCTCATAGTGGAACCACCATTTGACCCAGCTATCCCTCTCCTCGGCGCAAACCCAAAGGACTTAAAAACAGCTTACTACAGTGACACAGCCACATCAATGTTTAGAGCAGCTCAATTCACAACAGCCAAGAACCAACCCAGGTGCCCTTCAACAAATGAATGGATAAAGAAAATGTAGTATATACACACAATGGAATATCACTCAGCCTTAAAGAAAAATGATATTATGGCATTTTGAGTAAATGGATGAAAATGATAACATCATGTTAAGTGAAATGAGCCAGTCCCCAAAAAACCAAAGGCCAAATGTTCTCTCAGATATGTGGGAGCTAACACATAACAAGGGAGGGTGGRAGAGGGAGTATTTAAGTTCTTTGGATTAGACAAAGAGGAAAGAAGGGAAGGAGGGGAATGGGAATAGGAAAGACAGTAGAATGAACTGGACATAACTTTCCTATGCTCATATATGAGTACACGACCAGTGTAACTCCACATAATGTACAACCACAAGAATGGAATCAAAATCATAATGGGCTGGACACTGTGTGATGCCTATAATCCCAGCAGCTCAGGAGGCTGAGGCAGGAGGATTATAAGTTCAAAGCCAGCCTCAGCAAAAGTGAGGTGCTAAGCAACTCAGTGAGACCCTGTCTCTAAATAAAATACAAAAYRGGGCTGGGRATGTGGCTYAGTGGTTGAGTGCCCCTGAGTTCAATCCCCATACTCCCATCCCAAAAATTGTAACAGGCTGCATTCCATGTATGTATAATATGTCAAAATACATCCTAGTGTCATATATATCTAAAAACAACAGATAAAAAATGAATTAAAAGAAAACACACCTCCCTTGATGTCTCCACGGCAGGTGTGGCCACAGCCGGTGCTGCAGCATTTGTGCCCCAGAGGACAGGCCGCATCCCCGTCACACTGCTCCTCACAGGGAAGGGGGTCCTCGGGACATTCACCRTCAGACCCTGCCAGAGAATCAAGCATTGAAGTCCAGAGGCTCTCAAGTCCCGAGTGTGAAACACACATTTCACTGTGTCATACGTTAACACATACATATATGTATATATGTACATACTTACACGTGTCCTGTATGCCATGTGACCTGATGTTTCATATGATTTCTATTCTTTTTTTCAATGCTGGCCATAAACTGATTTTAGCACTCACAGTCTGAAAACCCCCGTCCAGCTCTAAACCACTAGAGTCTTTCTGCCTTCTTTCATACGGGGAAGACATTCACACTAATCTCCTGGCACTCGTGCCCGGGCAAAGCCAGTCCATAGTCACTCTGAACCAAGGCTTACTTCCACCAACGGGACATTCACAAGAGTGACACAAGCAGAGACGTAATAAACACCACATTGGGACTTGTCCTCTTGGAAACCAGCTGCCATTCTGGAAACCAGCTTGAGCTAGATTGTGAAATGAGGAGATCCCCATGGACAGAGAAGCTGGAGTGGAGAAGCCATCCTGGACATGCCAGCTGCACTCAAGTGCCCTGCATGGGTGACCTCAGCCTCCCATGAGGGTAGGTGAACCCCCCAGCTAAGCCCCAGTCAATCCCGTGAGACAGAATWAGCTGTTACTACTTTGGGCCACTACATTTAGAGATGGTTTGTTACACTGCAACATATAAGTGAAACACTCCTTAATAGAACCCCATGTTTGTCCTGAGAGGCAATAAATCCACTAAAATGATTCACTTCTCCGTATTCTCTGGAAGTAGGGGTGACCAAATTAAAACGTAAATTAGAGAAACTTGTGCATTTCTGATACAAATTATCCCCTGATTCTTCCTTCTTCCAGTCCAAAGACAGACCATGTGGAAAGGGAGAGCAGCCTTCTTCAAGACCAGGAGGCAACTAGCAGGAGGACACAATCARGAATTGCCAGGGAGAATGAGAGAAATCACTCTATCTTGTTTGCACCACAGAGCCACCGGACCCGCCCTGGTAATTACTTCAGGATTTCTCGTTGGGTGAAGACAAGGAACCCTGCTCTATCGAATCTTCTGTGGTGGGTAGCTAAACACATCCCAGATGTTCCCCCTCAACACCCCTGTGAAGATAATGAAATCCGGAGGAGAGAATGAGGCTTTCCCAGAATGACAGCTAAGAGTAACAAAATGAAGTACTTTCTGTGACACCATCCTTAAAACACGCAGTCAACTAAGCCAGCCCTCAGGAGCTGGCACACCCAAAGAAGGCYTCATCCAAACAAACCAACTCACCATGACGCAGGTGTCCTAGTGTTTATTCCAGGGTTTTGTTTTCTTTTTTTAAATGGAGAGAGAGAGAGGTGACAGGCAATTAATGGCTTCCTAGAAAACCAGACCAGGAGCAGCCYGGTGCTCTGCATAGCAACAGGTAAGTGTGCCTGCATTGGGTGGTCCCAGGAAGTCTGCGCGGGGAGAAGAGCAAGGGCTGGACTCCAGGGGGCACAACTGCAGCTGAACAGCGGGCCRTCTGACCTCCCCCTGGGATTTCCCAAATGTTTCCTGCCATTGTGAACTCAGTCAAGACTGGTCCTGAGTTTTTATACAGAAAATGTGGTCACTGGAACCACCTGACACGCCTCCCACACCTCCTCATCTGCTTGACCAACACTCAAGTTCCATCTAAACAAAGAGCAAAAGACTTTTGTCCCACAGTTGAGAGGGCTGAGTATGGAAATCTCCCTGGTGGAAAAACCCAGTGACGCACACTTCTCGGAGTTACGCCATGAACCCTAGGGAGAGGGGCCGAGAGCACCTATCTCCCAGATTTCACCACTGTGCTGGGCAAGGTTCTGATGTGGCCAATGCCAAGAGCATCTCTGCCCTCTAGCCTCATTCCCAGGACAATGCAGAGAGGCCCTATCTCTACTCCCTTCCATGTCGAGTATCCTTGAGGTCCCCGGGATTTTGCCAGATTTTAGAAGCCATACAGGTCCTGAGGGTCACAGCATACCCCTTTGACTTGTGCCCGGCAATAATGTCACCCTGACTTTCACTCAAATACCTGCCAAATAATTCCTTTCTTTCAGCTCAAACATCTGGAATTAATGAGGTCTTCCTTCCTCTTTGTCTTTTTTTTTTTTTCTGTTATTGTTTGTTTGGTTGGTTGGTTGCTTGGTACTAGGGATAGAACCCAGGGGTGCTCAACCACTGAGTCCACAACCCCAGCCCTTTTTATTTCATATTTTTTACTTTGAGATAGCATCTTGCTAAGTTGTTTAGGGCCTCACTAAATGGCTGAGGCTGACTTTGTTTTTGTTGTT